GGATCAGGGGCCCACGCACTCTGATGTGGAACATGACATCTTAAGTGCTAAACACCTGCTCCTTAATTCTTGTTTCCATTTTTAAGTCTGGATGCCCTGAGATCACTGGAGTCAGCATAGCTTAGTAGTCAGCCAGCAACTAGTCAGAGTTTCGCTTACACACCTTGAGCCAATACAGCCGCTTCCCTTTGCTGATGAATGTGTTTGGCTTCAGTAATACGTTCAAAGTCTGAGTAGTTTCCAAGTATCTCACAGCTTTTATTTTCTCTATTTGCAAGGCTTCAAGTCTGGGCAGGGACAAGCAGCTTGCTAGGGCCCTCTAGGTCTCTCCGTGAACGCGGACAACCCTGTGGATGGCCACAGCCTTCTACACCACCAAGCATAATGCAGGATCCACTCTGGTGGTCTCATTCCCACAACCTCCCTGTTAAGTTGCTGGCTGGCCTGCCAGTCTGCTGTTAGCACCAATTAGCTTTGAGACTTCAGGCTAGGGGCAAGACTGGTCACAGCAAAACATGGGATTCTCCATACTCGACTTTGAATAAAGCCAGCCGCCTCCCAGGGCCCGGACAGAACTTGTGTGACCTAGAGCCCAGGGAGAGGGAGTTGGGATGGCAGTAATCCCAGGCTAAAACATCACAGAATTCCACTGTTCTTATTAAGGTTCAATAGAATTTCTTGAGCAAATATATCGGAGTTTGTTGTGTGACTTTGTAAAACATTTCCCAAATATTAAACATTTTTGTGATAAGCGATATCTTAGGTTCTCAGGAGATGTGTTGCTCAGCTCCTTACTTGGCCATCCTGCAAGTCCCACTCCTTAAACCACAAAAGTTGCACAAGTTAATTACTGAGACTTATCCTATCCCTACGGGAAGAAGGTGGGATATTCTTTGCCATGTGAAATCTCCAAGGTAATGTCACCCTGGCAAAATGTTGACTTCAGCCTGGAAACTAACTAGACCTGCAGGAGGAAGCCACATTTTGTGAACCAAAATACCTGAATTAGTGGGTCTTCTCTGCCTATTTTAAAAAAAGCTTTTTCATTGTACTTAAAAGGCAGAGACAGACATATTCCATCTATTTGTTCACTTCCCAAATGCCTGCAATAGCCGGGGCTGGGCCGGGTCAATGCCAGGAGCCAAGAACTCTATCTGGGTCTCCCGCATGGGCAGTAGGGTCTTAGGCAGGCTTTTCCAAGCATTCTTGGATCACATGTGTTCGACACAAAAAGCTTAGTGGTGATATGGTTTACCTTGAGCTTAAAAAGATTAATAGGACTTCTCAGAGCCTTTAGTATGCTAATGTTTGTTGAGCTCCTCTAAGAGAAATGTTTGTAGTGTTTCCCAAGATTGTTGGGGGCTCTGAACACTACCCCGCCCATACACAGAATTTCACGAGATTAATGTTTTGTAAAAGACCCTTTGGTCTGTTTCACCTATTTCAGCCTGTGTCAGAAATGCTGAGATGTCAAGGGCAGAGGTGCTCGTTGGCAAACATCGTAGCTGTGTGTATCAGCCTTGCAGACACAGGAGCAGTGGTGGCGCTGAGCAGAGGGGGATCCCTCAGGGAGGTCAGTTTTGGCGGATAACCAAGCCTCTACTGAAGCTACGTCTTCTCACCAGGAGTATTTCACTGACAGCCTTCCCATTCCTGGGTTCTGTGATTATCACAGAGGACTTACCACAGGACATCAGATTAGATTCCTGGAAGATAAAGACACAACAGCTACCTTCAAAGACTACAGTTAAGGGTGCAATGGAGAAGACAGTTATAATCAAATGTTAGAGGAGGTGGGTGCTGCACTAAGACCAAGGAGACATGTGGGGAGCAACCCGGACTGGACTGAGTTACTGGAATTAAGACTTATTCTATGCATCTGCTCTCCCACAATATGGTGCTGGGAGAGGAGAAAACAGCTTCTACGCAGCTGCCTCTTGCCAACTTGAGTGATGACCTCCAGGAGCTGATCCTGCTCCTGATTGGAGGAGAGCAGCGTACTCGGCGTGTGGGTAGCAGAGTTGGGATTGGCGGAAGAGGACTATAAAGGAGGAGAGAGACAACATGCACCAGGAACATCTAAGGGGAACATCTATCTGAGGGAACACCTGTGCAGCCCCCGAGAGAGCCGGCCGGCGGTGTGCCGCTCCCCCGCGGAAGTGGGGAATGTGGCAGGGGGAACCGCCCTTCCACGGAGGTGGAAGGGTCGGTAGCCAACCCGGGAAGAACCAGCAGCAAACCCGGGGAGGGCCGAGCAGACGAAAGAACAGCACAGGGTCCTGTGTCGTTCCTCCGTGAAGAGGGGGAGCGACATAATGGTGCCGTGACTCGGATAGGAAGCCTAGGCAGGGTCTAGTGTCATTCTTCCATGAAGAGGGGGAGCGACAGAGACATGGTTAACCTGGCCCGAGGGTTGACAGAGGCCATGACACCCAAGCTGGTTCTTGAAGGTCAAGAAAGGGTTAGGCCAGGGAAGCAAGAAGAGCAGAGCAGCTACCAAAGGTAGACAGGCTTGAGAAAACCTGGCCTATTCAGGATCTACAATTAGCTCGCGTGGCTGAAGTACACGGTTTGGGAGACTGAACAGGTACAAACAGGAAAATAGGAAAGGCCTCATGCATCACACTAGACTGCTGCATCTTCTCAGGGATCATTAAAGGCTGCTGAATCTCAGCAGTTACCTTTTGCAAGCAAGCTCCTGGAAGAGCCCAGGATGAGAGCCTGAACTAGGGCACAATGGATGGCAGACAGAGAGCAACAGAGCTTACAATGACAGAACGTGGTGACGAGTTGGCATAAAGAGGTAGTTCCAGATTTCTGACCTGCACAATCACTGACAATGGGAGAGCCACGTAACACAAGGAACAAGGAGCAAACTTTTGGGGAGGAGACAAGATATTCATGTCTGCACTTGGTTCACTGAAATTCCACAAACATGTGAGACATGTTCAGGAGATGGCTAGAATTCTGGGCTGAGAAGTATGGACTTCACATGTGTTGGACTAAGAGCTGTAGGTGTAGGATACTGAACAGGGAATACAGACTGGGAACAGACTAAAACCCCGCAAATACCCATAGCATTCGTCTATTTGGAATCTGGCATACAGTACAGTGTCTACTGTGTATAAAATATGCTGCTTTCTCTGCCTCTCCTTTTCTGTAACTCTAAGTAAATAAACAAATCTTAAAAAAACAAAATAGGGGTTGTCACTGTGGCATAATGGGTAAAGCCGCCGCCTGTAATGCCAGCATCCCATATGGGCACCAGTTCAAGTCCTGACTGCTCCACTTCTGATCCAGCTCTCTGCCGTGGCCTGGGAAAGCAGTGGAAGATGGCCCAACTCCTTGGGCCCCTGCACCCACGTGGGAGACCCAAAATAAGCTCCTGGCTTCAGATCGGTGCAGCTCCAGCTGTTGCGGTCATCTAGGGAGTGAACCAGAGATGGAAGACCACTCTCTTTCTGTGCCTCTCCTTCTCTGTGTAACCCTTTCAAGTAAATAAATAAATCTTTTAAAAAAATATGCTGGATGCCAAGGTACAAAAAATAAAAAAGGCCCTTTCACCCAGGGAGACTGTGATCTAGTTGTGGAGAAAAGAATTGTACCCAACCATTATGCAAAATGAATTAAGAGCTATAAACGTGTTGAGTGTAGTAATTCATTCAATGAAAGAGGTGTTATGGGTTTCAGGAGAAGGGAGCATTTGAATTGAACTTTGTAAATTAAGTTGACTTTGGGGCCTGAGCTGTGGCGCAACAGGTTAAAGCCCTGGCCTGCAGTGCCGGCATCCCACATGGGCACTGGTTCTAGTCCTGGCTGTTCCTCTTCCGATCCGGCTTTCTGCTATGGTCTGGGATAGCAGTAGAAGATGGCCCAAGTGCTTGGGCCCCTGCACCCATGTGGGAGACCTGGAAGAGGCTCCTGGCTTCGGATTGGCTCAGCTCCAGCCATTGCAGCCATCTGGGGAGTGAATCAGCAGATGGAGGACCTCTCTCTGTCTCTACCTCTCTCTGCAACTCTCTTAAAAAAGTAAAATAAAATCTTTAAAAAAAAAAAAGTAAGTTGATTTTGACAAGTAGGGAAAGGGAAAGAAAACAAGTAATTTGAGGCTGGAAATGAATATATAAAGATTGCAACTGAATGGAGGGTAGAAGTGACAGGAGAAAAGCCAGACAGGTGGCTTGACGTCAAGATCTAGGTGCTTTGAGATTCATGCCGAGGTTTCTTATGAGTTCACTTGCAAGGTGGCACACAAGTGCCTTTGTATATATCCAAGGCTTCTACCTAATCTCTAATATCAGAAACACCTTTAAAAATAATGAATTTAGAGGACCATTGCTGTGGTGCAGTGGATTAAGCTGCCACTGTGACACTGGCAGCCCAGAGTGCAGTCCCAGCTGCTCCACTTCCAATCCCCCTCCTTGCTAATGTACCTGGAAAGGCAGCTGATAATGGATCAAGTACTTGGACCACTGCTACCATGTGGGAGACTGGATGGAGTTCCAGGCTCCTGGCTTCAGACTGGCCTAGCCCGGGTATCTGGGGACGGAGGCAGCAGATGAAGATCTCTTTGTCTTTCTCACACCCCTCCCTCGCCACCTCTGTCATTCTGCCTTTCAAATAGATAAATCTTAAAAAAACCACAATAATCAAAAATGCCAAAGGAAATCTAAAAACCACCAAACTAAGCCTTGAGATTTGTAAATGCTTCTTTTTTCAGTTCTATTATTTCCATTTGGCACAACTGCAAAACTCTGTGTTAGTGGAACTTTAATTATTTGGCTTCATTATACACTTTCCATTGCATCTAAGAATATAAATAATTTTATTCTAATGCTCTCATTTGAATTTGTAGTTAAAAACATTGCTAAAAATCACATTTTTGGGGCACTGTTTTGGTATGGTTAAGGAAAACAAAATATATATATTGCTAATGAAGTCATTAGTAACTGAAAGTGACCGATTATATAAAGACAGTAAACAATCAGATATTAAACACATTTTAAAGATGAAAAATATTTTATTTAAACTTTTCTTCATAAACACTTTTAACATTTTTTTCAATTTAAAAACAGAATGGATAGCATAAACATGTTTGAATAGATTATATCCACGGCTTGGGAAAAATTACCTGACAAAAATGTAAAGGCTTTCAAAACAGGTATAAAAGGCAAACCTTAAATTATTCTAAGACTGTTATATCGGCTCTAGGATTATTTGACTACTGGCCCAAAATGTACCTAAAGGTCAAAATATTTTTCTATAGACAAAGTATGCCCAAGAGATACAGGGCATATACAAGTTAGGTAGAAAATAACCTCTCCGATCACCTCACTGGAACGTTCCTTCAAAAAGCAAACACTTAATCCTTACTGGTACTGGTTAATAAAATTTTTAATGTAGCTGTTCCCGAAGATGTAAAAAAGAAAACCCAAGAATATCAAGGGGGAACAAAGCTGATGGCATTCTCTCAATGTTACTTGTGTAATATTGAAGTTGCACTGGTATACTGAAAGGATATGATTTCCATGAATTTATCTATTCCAGTCTATGCCTATTGAATATTTGACTTTATAAACTCTTGGTAAACTAATTTCTCAGAATTTTCGTTTTTAAGATAAATCTCTTTTTAGAAGATATTTATTCCCAAACCGACTCTGTGACTGAACAAATATATGATGTCTAAAAATGTTCAGAATAAAAAAGAAAAGTCAAAATGTATAGTAGGCAAACAAGAAAACTGGCACTAGCAGTTTTACTGCCATATAGCCCTCAATTATATCTAATTTACACTATATCTATGCTGTGTTTTACTTCAGTCTAAAACTTTAAATTATGTATTCTCAAAAGAGCTAGTCTCTTCTGAGATAGCTTATAAACTGAAATAACAATTTATATTATAAACTGAAATGTTATGACCTACACCCACATATACATATATAAAAATAGTCCCACTGAATGTTTGACATGTTTTAGATTATGCAGCTCAAATAATTTGTTATAAAATATCTTAAAGCTTAGTTTCATGTAGTTAAGACAAAACTCTCCATTTTCACCACTTGTCCCCACACAGACACGTGTGTCCTTTCCTACGAGCCACGCAGGCTGCCCAGAATGAGGTGTCCGAAGGTGCTGCTTTAGCAAAGAGCAAGTGACGGGCTCAGTCAGTATTTCACAAACGAGGGCAACACTCGCAGAGAGCAGAGGAATGAGTGCACAGAGAATGCTGTCTCAGGAAACACAAGTCTACTCAGTAAGCTTTGCTTCTTTAAAACCCAGTAGCATCTCTTCCAATACAAAACCTTCAGTGTGAGAATCTTGCATCTTATGAAACGGCTGTAGTGCAAGGATTTTCTTCAAAATCAAAACTTAGAAGGTCAAAGACATGGAAGAGAACCAATGGTTCTAATTAAGATGCAATTAATGAGAATCAGCTATTTTTGTGAAGTCTGGCATTTAAAACGTAAAGCAAAGTAACACATAGGGCATAACAGTTATACTGTAGTTTCAAATCTCTTACTGAATTTTGAAATAACTACTATTTTGAGCGCATACAATGTACATAAACACAAATGCTTTGAAGTGAAGCACACAAAAAATAAACTTGAAAAAAGTTGTATGAAAAAATTTTCCATAGTTTAGTATAACAAAAATAAATCTCTTGCAGCAATTAAACCATAATTTTAAAGGGAATGTACGTTAATCATGGATTTAAAAGAACCTAAATTAGAACTACCTATAAACAGAAGAGTTTTCTCATACATTCAGAACCCAAGCCATAGCAACTATTCTTAAAGCTCAAAACTGATTACAGCTAACATCAGGTCAGACATGACTTACGTGAAGCTGAACCCAGAGTTAGTTCAAGTTAAGATTTCACAAATTTTATGAAACACAAACTTTGATCTTGGCCTCATGTCTTTTATATGGAAAACCAAGAAAATACAACTGTTTGCTCGGATGTGACCCTAAGTAGGGCTATGAATTCCCATCTGAGCCACCACTGGAGTGTCAAGCCTTTGATATGGGCACTCCGTCTGATGGTGCCTTCTTGGTCTTTCCCAGCAAAAGACATCAATGAGGAAAATAATGAAGACATTATTTTCTTTAAAGCAAGACAGCGCACATTCAAAAACCTTAAATGAACTAATGTATTAGAAAAAAAATTAAATGGTTAACTTAATCTCTAATTTTCAAAAGTAACAGAATTAAAGAGTATTTTTAAATGTAGAAACAGAGGCTGGCACTGTGGGGCAGGTTAATCTTCCGCCTGTGGCGCCAGCATCCCATAGGGGCGCCAGTTCTACTCCCAGCTGCTCCTCTTCTGCTCCAGCTCTCTGCGTGGCCTGGGAGAGCAGTGGAAGATGGCCCCAGTGCTTGGGCCCCTGCACTTGGGTGGGAGACCAGGAAGAAGCTCCTGGCTCCTGATCAGTGCAGTTACGGCCACTGCAGCCATTTGGGGAGTGAACCAGCAGATAGAAGACCTTTCTCTCTGTCTCTCCCTCTCAGTCTGTAACTTTACCTCTCAAATAAATAAATAAAATCTTAAAAAAAAAAGTAGAAAAAGACTTTTACCCACATTACTATGGGAAGCAAGATATCAACTTGCATTTTTAGAAACTAAGTAAATGAAAGATCACTTAATGAAAAATTAAGTCTCATATACAAAAGAATATTATTAACTTGATTTCTGAAACCAATGCCAATGATATTTCTCTTTCAAAAGCTACTTGTGCACCTGATTGTGTTTCTGAAACTCAAATGTCTCCAGTTAATGGAGTGTTAAAATCAGGTTTTATTACACAGTAAGTCTAACTGAACTGCAAAAACAAAAACAAAAACAAAGTCTTCACATTTCCACGTCACGCTTCTATTATGTTCAATGGTGGCAGCAGCAAAAAAGAAAAAGAAAAGAAAACAGAGAAAAAACACAGAAACTAGAAAATTTATACAACAGCAGCCATATAGAAGGCATTGCAATATTGCACCAATATCCTAAGTTCTGGCAAGTTCTGCCAGTGTAGATCTAGTCTGTATCACATATAGACTACTCCAGAGAAAATGGCATCAATTTGAATGATCCATTCCCAGGTTAGTCTTGCTGAATTTTGTCAACTCCATCTTCTCCTTCGAATCTACAGAGTTGCAAGGTGCAGCTAATCCTAAAATACTTATAAACACTTTTGAACAGCTATTCTTGATTCACTCTGAACTTTGTGGTTACTATCCTTCATGCTAGTAGCTTTCAGTAAACAAGGCAAAAGCTGAGGGCTTACGTCCCTAGTGCCACTGGGTATTTTTGTATGGTATTTTATATGAAATAAACATGTAGACAACCAATAACGTAATTCTTATCTCTAAGTCAAAACTGAGCTCAAATTTTCCAAGAGTTGCTATCTTCCATCCAATAACAGATGCAGCAGCCTTAATGAATGGAAAGAATGGGGGTTGCACTTACTTTCAAGGGGCCTTTATTCAGGAGTCTGGTATTCCCTAAATTCTCTTTAAAAGTGCTTATACGCTGCAGGGTCAGAGCTTGTCAAATACCACTCCAATTCTCACTAAAAACAGGGCAATGTTAAACAGACTGCAAAGAAAAACATTTTCAAAAAGAAAGCATGTATTGGTAAGGAACACTAAAATTTACTTCTGAAAATAAAGTATAAAAATGTTAGTTTTCTTAAATCCATACATGTTTCAGAAATACAAGAAGCTCTAATATTACTGAATCTGTATGGACTCAAAATAGGCTACTTTGATATCAAATGAGGACTCCAGTTATTTTAACTTTCTGAAAATGTTAACACACGAAAAGACATTACATCTAAAATTCAACAAGTATGGCGAACCGTGTGTGCAAGTGTACTAGCTTAAAAATATAGAATCCTAACCACACGTACAAGGGATGTGCCTTATCTATTTATAGGAAGTATGGATATGCTTTCACTAACACGATGCAGTTTAGAGAAGGCAGCTTAGAAATAGTGTTTTGAATATAAAAAGTTAACTTTGTATAGAAAATTTGTATTTTTGCATTTTCAGCAAAAAGCCATGCAAAAAGGTCAAGAGTTTTAAACATTTAAATAATAAAACCCCAAAAAAATTACAGACCGAAATACACGGAAATAAATGTTCAAAAAGGTTTCGGAAAGAGAAAGGGACTGAAATCACATCCAGTGACACATGTCGGTCTTCTCTTAGAAGATGCGTGACTCCTACACTAACACCTGAAAGAAATGTGTAAAGCAGAAAATCAACTTCCTAGGTAAGTGGAGCATTCCATTAAACTGCTTCTGGAAGTAGTTTCAAGAGCTAGCGCTTAGATTTCACTTATTGCATGAGTTTGAGGCCACTGGGGGAAAAAGGATGCTAGCACAGAATGAGAAATTCTTACGATATTAGACCAATGGCTTTGATAGTAAAACTGGTGAGGTTTTTCTTTTATGTTTGTTAATTAACTACTTTAGCACAAACAAATGCTTTGTTTGCCTTTGTTTTTTCAAAGGAAAAAGCTGTCATTAGTTGCAACGTCTGACTTCATCCAGCACATAGTCCGGAAAATGCAGGTTGCACACTTGTAAGCCATCCAGCTTGCAGGGCATTCGAGGGTACTCATCTTCCTTCCATCTGTTTTCATCTGGATCAAATGTGAGAATGGAATCACTGTAATGACCGTTATAGCAAAGGCCTCCGAGAACCATTATTTGTTTGTCCAGCACAGTCACACCATGGCCACTCCTACCAATTGGCATGGATGCCAAGATGGTCCACTGATCAGTCTCTGGGTTATACACTTCTGTGGAAGGGCATCCCTGAGATTCAAAAGAGGCCCTCAAGATCACACAGACACCACCAAAGACGTAAAGCTTACCGTTGTAAGAAATCATCTTGTGAAAGCATCGCGCGTAATTCATCTTGCTCTTGTTCTCCCAACAGTTGGTAACTACTTGGGTTCTTCTGGTCCGCTGCTCTATGGTCCCTTCTTTACTGGGGTCAAACACACACACTTGCTTGGAGGTGGAAGACGAGGTGATTCCACCAGTGATGAACAACTTGTTATTGAGCACTGTCCCTTCATGTCCGTATTTGTTAACTGGATAAGGATCCACAAATTCCCACTTATCATTGGTGATGTCATATCTCTCTGTTGAATAGAAAGTCTCATCCCTGGTTCTGCCTGCTACGGCGTAAATAAACTTGCCAATAACACCAACTGCAAATTCTGAACGGGGGACAGACATGTCTGCCATCCGCAGCCAAGAGTTTTGTCTTGGGTCATATCTGAACACTTTGGAAGAAGCATGGAATTCACCATCCGGGCCCAGCTCTTCCCCACCTAACAGGAACACAAAATTGTTGACAATAGCAAGGCAGTCTGGCCGTAGAGGTACCTGCGGGCCCTCCAGCTCCCACCAGACTCTCGGTTTCTTTAAGAGTAGGATTTTGCTGTTAACCATGCTATGTCCAATCATTCCTCGGAATACTGTAGTTTGCGGTTTGGCAGAACGAATGCGGCTTGATTTCATGTCCAACAGAGGCTGCTGGTGAACATTCTGAAAGTAATTCAACGCCTGTTCAACTTCATAGCGCAGCTGTCGAGAGTATCTGTAAAATTCTGATGTTTTAACCTAAGAATGCAAGCACAAGAATTTAATTCAAAGAAAAAGTATCAATGGCTAACAAAAATACCAAAGCCTAGTAAGCTACGATATTCTTCGGAAACTACTTTTCCTGGTAAAAATCACCTGCTTTTCTTTGTTTTCTACAAAGCTTTTTTTTTTTTTACAATATTTGTTTTTATAATTTGTATTTATAATATTTTAATACATTCCCAAGCTCTGAAAAGTAAACAAGCTATTTTCAGGCACAAGTTAATTTCTAGGCAGAAGGAAATTCGTCTCAGAAAATGTACTAGACACCTATTAGATGTCAGGGCCTGGGCTACATGGGAAGACAAATATGGGGCTTCACAGTAGAGGAAACCAGGCCTGCAGTTTTCTTAACCACAGGTAACACTGTAAATGAACCATGACTGAATCCTTTGAGGAGGTAAGTCAGTGAAAACTGAAATACACATGAAAATCCCATTAGGTTTTTGACATAAAAACTTGATTTGATATTATCAGCTCCTACAGTAGTAATTCAATAGATGAGAATAGGTCTAATTTTTTTCCCTTCTTGTTTTTGGAGCTGGAACTATCTAATTATGATATCTATCAAGACCTTATTTGTTTTTTTTTTTTTTGTTTTTTGTTTTTTTTTTTGACAGGCAGAGTGGACAGTGAGAGAGAGAGACAGAGAGAAAGGTCTTCCTTTGCCGTTGGTTCACCCTCCAATGGCCGCCGCGGCCGGCGCGCTGCGGCCGGCGCACCGCGCTGATCCGATGGCAGGAGCCAGGAGCCAGGTGCTTTTCCTGGTCTCCCATGGGGTGCAGGGCCCAAGCACCTGGGCCATCCTCCACTGCACTCCCTGGCCACAGCAGAGGGCTGGCCTGGAAGAGGGGCAACCGGGACAGAATCCGGCGCCCCAACCGGGACTAGAACCCGGTGTGCCGGCGCCGCTAGGCGGAGGATTAGCCTAGTGAGCCGCGGCGCCGGCCCAAGACCTTATGAATCCATTTTAAGTATTGTGCTAATAAGTTCTATGGGAAGATATAAAATAATATGTGGTTCATTTCTTCAAAGAGCCTAGAATATATCTGGGTCAATGAAATGCAATACAGATTCACCAGTAAGTAAACAGGTGAGTTGACAACAAGGCACGAAAATATCTAGCAATCTGTGAGGGCTGCAGAAGCTGGAAATCAAGCAGAAAAAAGTCTGCCATCATACAATAAGGATAAGAGGACTCCAAATCTGGACAGCAGAAATGAACTATTGTAAAGAGAACATCTGCAAACATTCATGACGGACTGGAGGCAGAGCATGGTGAAGAAGTGAGGACTCAGGCCGGCGCCGCGGCTCACTAGGCTAATCCTCCGCCTAGCGGCGCCGGCACACCGGGTTCTAGTCCTGGTCGGGGCGCCGGATTCTGTCCCGGTTGCCCCTCTTCCAGGCCAGCTCTCTGCTGTGGCCAGGGAGTGCAGTGGAGGATGGCCCAGGTGCTTGGGCCCTGCACCCCATGGGAGACCAGGAGAAGCACCTGGCTCCTGGCTCCTGCCATCGGATCAGCGCGGTGCGCCGGCCGCAGCACGCTGGCCACGGCGGCCATTGGAGGGTGAACCAACGGCAAAGGAAGACCTTTCTCTCTGTCTCTCTCTCTCACTGTCCACTCTGCCTGTCAAAAAAAAAAAAAGTGAGGACTCAAATGTGATTTGAGGAAAGACTTGAGGTGAGTGAGAGTGTGTGACCAGGAAGGGAAAAAAGGGGAGATGAGCTGGCTTGGGAGTGGCATTCAACTCTGCTGGTAGGATACTCGGGAGGAAACATCCAGGAGTCTGTTAGAAATCCAGGATGGCATCCCGGGAAGGAGGCAAAACCAGGCACACATATTTATGGGCTTTGCCTGCTTTCTTCTTTTTCCCTGCCCATCTTCTTATCTTTCTCTTTCTTTAATCCATTAATTTATTCGTTTCCTACCTTTATTCAAAAAATATTTGAAACATACAGCATCACAAACTTGTGTCTAAGTATTCTGATAACTGTATTTAACCTAAGTGGTTTCCTTTCTAATCTAAGGCATTTTATTTTATGCATTTAAAACTATTATTCTGGGGACTGGCAATGTGGCATGGTAAGTTAAGCTACTGCCTGTGATGCTGGCATTCCACATGGGCACTGGGTTGAGTCCCAACCGCTCCACTTCTGATCCAGCTCCCTGCTTATGTGCCTGGGAAAGCAGCGGACGATGGCCCAAGTGCTTGGGTCCCCTCACCCACACGGAAGATCCAATGAAGCTCCTGGCTCCTACTGGGCCCAGCCCTGCCTGTTGCACCAATTTGGAGAGTAAAATAGAGGATGGAAGATCTATCCTACCCCTCTTTCTCTGTAACTCTGTCTTTCAAGTAAATAAAATAAATCTTTAAAATAATAAAAAAAAAATTGGGGCCAGCACTGTGGCGTAGTGGGGTAAAGCTGCCGCCTGAAGTGCCTGCCGGTACGAGTCCCGGCTGCCCCATTTCTGATCCAGCTCTCTGTTATGGCCTGGGAAAGCAGAAGATGGCTCAAGTCCTTGGGACCCTGCACATGTGTGGGAGACCCAACTTTATGGCTATTTGGGGGATTAACCAGAAGATGGAAGATCTCTCTCCCCCATCTGCCTTTCAAACAGATAAATCTTTTTAGAAGGGAAATAAATAAAAGCTCATAGTACTCCAGTATTACAATAATTAAAGTTTCTGCATGCTTGCTTGTGAATAGTGATTCCCTCACATTTTATAAATACTTTGCACTATTTTCTACATATAAACAGAAAATGGGTCTCTTAAAGCCATCAAAAATACATTCATGGCTGGCACCATGGCTCACTAGGCTAATCCTCCGCCTACGGCGCCGGTACCCGAGTTCTAGTCCCGGTGGCTCCTCTTCCAGTCCAGCTCTCTGCTGTGGCCCGGGAAGGCAGTGGAGGATGCCCAAGTGCTTGGGCCCTGCACCTGCATAGGAGACCAGGAGGAAGCACCTGGCTCCTGGCTTTGGATCGGTGCAGTGTGCTGGCCGCAACATGCCGGCTGTAGCAGCCACTTGGGGGGTGAACCAATGGAAAAAGGAAGACCTTTCTCTCTGTCTCTCACTGTCTAACTCTGCCTGTCAAAAAAAAAAAAAAAAAAGACACACAGTAATAAAAAAAGAATCTTTTCCTATTACATTATTTTCTTCTAAAAATTCTCTAATATACTATGCTTTACCCATTTTGCTCATCTTCTGATGTATTTATAGGAGCTGAAAGGCAGTACTCTGGAAATCAACAAGAATCACAAACCTCAAATTAAATATTTAAGTGCCTACTGTGCACAGCCAGTGGTCTGAGAGCTACACAGGTTTTCAAGTAACAGAATCTTGTCCAGCATAGTAATTAAGCACCATGTCAAGCAGGCCGTATGGTGATTAAGAATTCAATTTAGGAAATTTCTGACTTCACTACTCACAGGCTGTGCAATCCTGAGCATGTAATTCAACATCCTTAAGCCCATTTCCTCATCCGTGTTACTGGGGTACCAACAGTACCTATGCCTCCTAAACCCTAGGATGAGTGAGACAATCTAAGTAGAAAGGCGTAAGTATGGTGCCTGCCATGTGGCATTGGGCAAAAAATATTAGCTGTCATTAGCTATTATTACTGACCAAGGGACATCTGTGCAAGTGTTACTAAGCGTAAATCAATGCATCTGATCACATGTTCTTTTGGTCTGTTTAACAATTTAGTCCTGGAGAAAGTAGAGGAGAAATGGGAGAAACTGTTAATTTGGCCTTAATCCTCACTAGAAAAAATATGACTGGTAACACACAAGCAGGAGGAAGCGTTACAGAAAGCAGCCATGTTGTCTGGAGAACAAGAAAGGAAGAATGCTGCACATATTGGATAGGCAGATTTCAAGTTTTTCAAAGGAAAATTAGGATCAATTCCAACATCAGAAAATGTAAGAAAACTCGAGAAGGCTTGGAGGCTCTCAAAAGCATAATGCTGACTGCATAATTGCAAAATACACTCATGAGAGGAAGAAAAGGACAAAGCATCTAAAAAATCTAATGTGCTACACAGAGAGCTTTCTGGAATTCAGATGTTAAAAAATCACAACAGATGGTAAAAAAATAGGCACATAAAGTATTACAAAGAATGAAATGGAGCTTTACAAATATACAGTGAATAAGACTAAAGCTTCAGGAGAAACAGTGACTTTAAAAAGTACTAGATACTGAAGATAGGGCATTGTGGATGTTAAAGGAAAAAGTGAAGTCCCACGGACGGGGTGGCTTATATAATATTAACAAACGACAAAGAGACACAGTCTTATTCCTACTTCCAGTTTCGGCTAAGAATGTGTTATTCTTTCCGATCTGAAGATTAAACACAATTGCTACGAAGAAAACAAATCCAAGATGTTTAAGGAAAAAAAAAAAAAAGAAATACCAGCTAGTTATTTTCACCAAGTTGGTCATCTAATCTCACAAATCATGTCCTACGATCCTGAGAGGCATCAAAGACAAGGCTGTCCCCCTGCCTTATTATTATTAGAATTGCTTTCTATAACCCTTGTACAATGGTGAAAAATGAGAGAGGACTAAAAACCAGATCAGTTTTCCAACTACAGAGTGGTTAGCCTGAGGTGGATCCTGGATTGTTAAATAGTTAGCATCTGAAAATAAGAAAGCGCTACACTCTAGGAGTCAATACAGATTTACTAGGTAGTTCAAGACTGATCCTGTTTCCTAATTTTTGATGATATAATAACAGCACTGGTAGCGAATGAGGGAACATATAACTTGAGCAAAGTAATCTACAAAGTTGAATCATAAGAGAAGTATGAGGGACCCACAAACCACCTGGAGTGTATTTGGAAGTAGGGTGAGGTAACAGGAAACCCATAGTTTCAGCATATGCTCCAGGGATCTACCAACTCTAAAAATGCAGAGCTTCACTAGATCCAGCCTCGATACGAATTAACAATGGGATACTGCAGCCTTAGGAGCTA